CCTGTATACACACACACACACACACACACACACACACACACACACACACACACACACACACCTAGGCTTGCACATCTCTCAGCCCTTGTTCCTCCCTTCATTCCTGAGATCTGTTCAGTTGGGTCCTTCCTGGAGTGAGCCCAGGTGCAGACAGACAGGCTCTATCTGCATACTACCTGTCTGGGGCGCATGGAGAGCACGGAGGCCATCCTTGTGCCCTCCAGCCCTGCCTCTCTTCTAGGAAGAATACGAAGATCTGGAGAGCATCCACAAGGAAGAGAAGCTGCAGCTGGAGGAGCTAAAGGAGAGGCATGCGGTGCTGGTGGAGGAGTTTTCCCAGATCCGTGCTGAGAGCGAGATCAACTCCAAGAAGCGGGTGGAGGCGGAGCGCGAGATGGTGCGCATGGTGCGGGCGGCCACGCTCATCCAGGCGGTGTGGAAGGGCTACCTGGTGCGCTCCATGCTCAGATCCAAGAAGAAGAAGCGGGGCAAAGGCAAGGGGAAGGGCAAAGAGGAGAAGGGTAAGGAGAAGAAAGGCAAGGGCAAGGGCAAAGGCAAGAAGAAGTAACTGCTGCCTGGCCCTGCTCCTGCCCAGCCTCAACCACGCCCTGCCCAGTCTGAATGGTACTCCCACCCTGCCCCAGCCCTTCCATCCTGACTTTAATGATGGCCAAAATTAAAACAAAACAAAACATTTAAACCATACTCAAGGGCTCACCCTTCAACAGACGTGTCTACCCCAGGATGAGGCTGTGTTGCTCATGGGCGCAGCATCCTGAGGAGGGTACAAGCTTTGGGACCCCCATCCTCCCACATCTTCATTGAGAAATGAGGCCCTGGTCCCAACCCAAGAGATACTGTGGTTACCATGGAGAGACATCATCACTGGGCAGCCCTGGCCTGCCCTGGGACTGCCCACCCACCCACAGCTCTGCCCCTTTGCTATGAACCTTCTGGAGGGCAGCAGCGTTTTTGGTTTGGTGTTTAGATTGCATGATTTTTTGAAAAGTATTAGTTGCTAGAATCTCATAAATTAAGAACCATCCATAGAATCCTAAAGCCCTTATTGTGAAGATCCCATCACCCTGATATCCCAGTATCCCGGCCCTGTGTCTTCTTCCATGGTGCAGCAGCATCCCACCCTGCAACTTTATTTTGAGACATAGTATTCCTCTGTAGCCCCAGCTGGTGATCCACCTGCCTCTTGATTTCTAAATGCTGAATTTACAGGCATGGGCCACCTCTTTGGCTTCCTCCACTTCAAAACAAAACAACAAAACTAAAGAAACAAAGGATGGTCAAGGGGGATGGTGGGGGCGGTGGTGGTGCACGCTATGTGGGAGGCTGAGGCAGGTGATCTCTGAGTTCAGGCCAGCCTGGTCTACAGAGTGAGTGCCAGGACAGCCAGAGCTACATGGGGAAACCCTGTCTCAAAAACAACAAAACAACAAAAGGGTTATTTTATTTATGTGGGTGTACCCATGGAGTCCATAGCTGGCTGCAAAATTCATTGGAACTAGAGTTACAGATGTTTGTGAGCCACTTGAAGAGGGTGATATCTGAACTTAGGACCTCTGACAGAGCAGTTAAGTTCTCTTAACCCTTCAGTCCCCAATTCACTCATTCTTCCTTCCTTTCTTCCTTCCTTCCTTCCTTCCTTCCTTCCTTCCTTCCTTCCTTCCTTTCTTCTTGAGACCGGGTTTCTTTGTGTAGCCTTGGCCTCTGCCTCCCGAGTGCTGGAATTAAAGGTGTGCACAAGCACGGCCTGGCTACTCTCCTTTTCTTAAAAGGTGTGTGTGTGTGTGTATACATCACATGCATGCCTGATGCCTGCAGAGGTCAGTAATTCCCAGAACTGGAATTACTGGCAGTTATGAGCCACCTGATGTGGGTGCTGGGAACCAAACCGAGGTCCTCTGGAAGAGCAGTGTGCACTCTTAACTGCTGGGTCATCTCTCTAGTGCCCCTCCCTCTACCTTTTGTTGTTCCCATCAGGCTGCGCCCGTTCTATCACCCCCAGCTGCTCTGACACCACAGCCTGGTATTAACCACACTCCAGGCCTGGTATCAACTACCTGGTGGCATCACCCTGGGCTCCAGCTGACCTTTAGTATAGGCAGGAGAAGAATGTGTGCTTCTATTTCTAGCCTGTGTCTATCAACAGGGAAGGGATAGAGAAAAAGGAGGTAGACTAACCAATCCTTTGTACAAGTTCTAGAAGCTTAAACATCCTATGTGGCTAAAGTGCAGTGTGTCTGTGCCCAGATATGGCTGTCTGACCTCTGTACACACATGTCCCTGGGCCAGGCTATACCTAGACGATGGTGAGTCGCCCAATGGAATCCATGAAATGCTCATGGAGGGAGGGGGACCAGGAGAGGCTCAGGACCCCATTGTCATCATCCAGGGAAGGATGTAGGACCTGAGTGAAGCTCTGTGATCCAGGGCCCCAACTGCAGTGCAAGGGAGGGCAGCACCTAGCAGCCCAGGCCTAGGGCTCTGCAGATGCCTGTCCCTGCCTGCCTTTTCCACCTGGCTCATCACTAAGTCCTGCTCTGTTTTGTTAGGGGCAGAGGTTGCTGGGCATTGATCCCAGGGCCCCATTCATGTATGTTAGGTAAACACTCTACCACTGAGATACATCCTGCCCCCCGCAACAAGACAATTGCTAGCAAAGGACTCTTACTATGTCCTGAGCTGGCAAGAACTACCCACCTACTCATGTATGGAATCACAGGACAGAGACAGGATTGGGGTAGACTAAGCATTACCTGAGGTCTATGTCCTCAGACCTCAGCAGCCAGTCATTTCTGCCACATGAACAAATCACCCACGGTTCTGTTTAACTGTACTATTTAAATCCTCAGAGGCCTTTACTTAAGGGGGAAAAGGTAACACACCACTGGGTTTTGATGAGCTAAATACATTTAATACCTGGAATAAATACATGAATATTAAAATAATGTCTCCTCATTTTCCACCCTTGGGGTCCATACACAGCCCAGGAAACTCCTTTAAGGCCCCCAGACCCCTGTAGAAACTGAATCCTGAGCAGGGAGCTGGTGGGATTTGGCACCCATGCACAAAGAGGCTGAGAAATGGCCAGAGAGACATCTCTAGGACCTCCAAAAACCCTGCAGAGAGTGCTAGGGACATCCTGAGCTTGTGGGGACAAAGGAAAGTATGACCCATCTTCACCATGGAGGCATCTCCAGTGCTTGGGGGCCCTGGTCCCCAGAGGGCCCCACCTGAGCTGAGTCCTTGCTGTGAGCCAAAGGCTTACCTGGTGAGAGTCTCACTTCCAAGGAGGCTTTGGCTTGAGGGGGCCGGTCCCTCGTTGTAGGGCAGCTGGTCCTGAAACACTGCCTGACTGTGCCTTGGAAGTGACCAGGGGACTCTGGACAGTCATCCTTGATGTGGAAGGCCGGGGACTCCAAGGTCCATTGGTCTGGGGGACACTGGCATCTAGATGACCCATGCTGGGGACACTCAGGTGGGTGACTGAATGGGAACGCCTCTGCTCCAGAGAGTGGGGAGCATCCAACCCCTCCTGGGGTGTCTTCTGGGAGCCCCTGGTCATGCTGGGCTCTGTCCTGGTGGGTCCAACGGGGTGAATGGCTCGAAGTGGGGTCTCCCTGGGGTGAGGTGAGTGGCCACCCCTAGGGGTGGCTGGTGGAGTCCAGAAAAGGGTCCAGAGCTTGGCAGCATCCCCCACGGCTGTCCGAGACCCCTCCTTGCTGAGGCCCTGTGGCCGGGAGCCAAACAATGACTCATCACAGAAGGATGGGGTGTGGCCAATCAACCTAGGAAAGGGAAGGATGCAGTGACCTGGGGTGACACACTAAAGCCCTCTACAACCTCACTCCCCACCAGCTACAGGAAGCAGTTGCAGCCTGCCTGGCACCCTCAGGGAGCCCTGACTGCTTCAATAGGCTCATAGGTATCAGCCCAAAGCAGCTTGGGACTTGTTTCCCTCTTCTCCTGGAGACAGACATGATGCAGAGGGGAGCAGTTATAAAAGGGACCCTCACCTGGAGCACCTCATGTGAACTCCACCATCAAGAGTCCTAACTACAGCCATTCTTTGGTATATGGGAGTCGGGGGGGGGGGGGCACTCCAGAAACCCTTGTTAGTATCTGTACATGCTCAAGTCTTGTGCATCAAATGACAGACAGCTCCCTGAATCTACTCAGCTCCAGATTAATGGAGTAATTAAGTCCATTAAGTGCTATGCACACAGTCGTCACACTGTTGTTTAGGAACAACAACAAAAAACTACAGGTGCTTGGGCCAGCAAGATGGTTCAGTGGGTGTGGGTACTTGTGGCCAAGACTTGATAACCCGAGTTCCAGCCTCAGGACCCACAAAGTAAAAGGAAAGGACTGACTCCTACAAGTTATCCTTTGACCTCTACCAGTATACACCTCTCCCATACAAAAATAGCCAAATACAAATGGACTTTTCAAAAAAGTCTCTATGAGCTCAGCAGAGATGCAATTTTTTTTCTTCCAAGAAATTTCCTTTAAAAATATTTTAAATTTATTATTACTATGTGTGTATGATGTGGCTATGTGGGCATGTTCAGAAAAGAGCACACGTGGGGAGGTAGGGGACAACTCTGTGGAGTCATTCTGTCCTTCCACCTCTATGAAGGTTCCAGCAATCACAGGTCACCAGGCTTTCGAGACAGAAGTCTTTACCCACTGGGCCATCCCACTAACCAACACCACCACCGACCAAGCCCTTCCTAAAGCATTCGGCAGCTGTACCACCACAGTCCTCCCCACTCTCATTAACCAGAATGTTCATCCTATTATCTGGGTAAACTGCAGCTCAGAGAAGTCAAGGCGCTTGCCCATGGCCACACAGCCGGTGAACAGCAGGGCCAGTTTCAATTGTCAACTTGGCAGGATCTGGGATCACCTGGGAGGAGAATGGCAGAGAGGAACATCTAAGTCGGGTTGGCCTGTGGTCATGCCTATGAGGGACCTTCCTCTTAGTAGGAGTGTTCTATGCGCATGTAAGTCTATGCACCATGTGTGTGCCTGGAGTGTCAGAAGAGGGAGTCGGATGCTCTGGGACTAAAGTTAAGGAAAAGAATATGCAGAGAGCAAGCATGTCACGTAACCTAGCAAGCATGTCTCTAGCCCCCACAAGGGCGGGCGTGCAACCACAAGCCAGAATAAACCCCTGCTGGTCTAAGTATTTTATCACAGCGACCAGAAAAGTGACCAAGACAGCCACCTTTAGTCCGGGAGCGCACCCCCACCCTGTTACCTGTATTTGTTTTTCTTCCTTGGTGTGAGGTTTGGGATGCTGCCCCTGGAGGGGGTGGACTCACAGTCTCTCTTGACTGGCGAGACCTTCGGTGGTCCTGGGCCCACTCCTCTCGACCTGTTACAGTTCCGCACCCAGGGTGGGTCAAAGTCTGGAGGGGTGGGCCGGGTTCCAGTAGGGCTGCCAAACAGGGTCTCGTCCACATAGGATGCCCTGGCCTTGACCCGGCAGCTGCTGGGAGTGCGATGCTGAAGATGGAGCGCCTGCATTCCACTGCGGGCCAGCTCTACCAGGATCTTCACTGCTGTCAGTCGTCAGGAGTGACAGTGGGTGTGGTGTGCTCTGCCTGCCAGACCAGGCCTCCAGAGCTCCCTGTGCAAAGGGTGAGAGTGAGCCTGTCAACAGCAGGGCCAGGTAAGTAACAGTGGCAACGTGGAGTCTGAAGCCCAAGGGCAAAAGGGCCTATTCCTGCTGAGGGAAAGGGAAAGGTCTTTCTCAAAGGGCGACTACCAATTCAGGAGGCATCTTGGAAATGAATCACTTTTTTTTTTTGCCCCTTCCCCACTCAGGGTTTCTTGTAGCTCAAGCTGGCCTGGAACTCATTATATTCTATAGCCAAGACCTTTACTCTGATTCCTGCTTCTACTTTTCACGTAGAGCTGCACGATTGTCTAGTGTCTGAGGTGCATGGGTTCGAAGCCCGTGGTCTGTGCAAGCTGCCGGCTAAGCAGGCACTCCTGCCTTTTTAGTTGTCAAGACACGGGAATATGCCATCAGCAAATATTTAATGGATAAATACACACGTTTAGCCTACGGTGTATGCTCAACAAATATTTACAGTACAACTACGGGCGTACAGTGGCATAGCACCAATCAGAAAAATCCAACTATGGTAGGAGGGGGAAAAGGGCTACCAAGCCA